TCTGTTCAGTTGAACGCTTTGTTGCCATTCAGTTGAACGCTTTATGACATGACGACTGTCGTCAACGCCACCTCAGCTGTAATCCCGCTCTACCAGTGTGCCACCCGGAAATAAGGGAGACTACCCTGTTTATTATCTGGTTTCCCCGAGCACCAGACGAGGGCCAGTTGTTGTTTTTCTATTTGTCTACCGTATCGTGTAAGTTACTTCATATGTTGATGTCATTGTAGGTTTACAGTTGAAATTCTATGTTAGTTTCTTGATTATGTCACACTGTGCAGTTTTGCTAATGATTTCCTCACCCTGCACTAAAACTGTTTGCTCAAAGTTTACCTCACTTGTATCATCGCTGATACTATCGGCTATCGGAGCTCTCCTCACGAAATATTTTGGTAGGAAAACATTGCAACGTATAGTCTTTGTCATACTTTCCCTGATTGTTGGTCAAACCTTGCAACATATAGTCTTTGTCATCATGTCCCTGATGATTGGTCAAACCTTGCAACATAGTTTTCTCATAATTTCTCTGACCATTTCCTTCTTGACAAGCATCGGCAAATGCAGTTATCAAATGTTGCTATCTGGAGGCTTGTAATTGCAGCATCATTCATAGTGATCACTTTTTGTTTAGTATCTTCCTCATCTTGGTCTTGGCTCTCAGTCTCTCAGCATTTTAGAGGCTGCTGTTGGATAGAGAATAGATAAATAATCTCAAAGTGAAAATTTTAAAAAGAATAAGAAGTATATTCCAATAAGAATAGAGGCAAGTACATTTAGGTTACCCTCCGAATAATGGTCCCAAATTACCGAGGCCGAAAATATACCCTAAGGAGATAACCTTGACCCTAATAACCCATGTTAACTGTTAAAAAAGTCATATTTTCCGCTAGGGTTGCTCTAGACGGACCCGCCAAAGTCAAACCGAACCAAAACGTCACAGACGAGGCCTTTGCCACAGCCACATATAGATTCTGGACTTCCAGCGGCTTAAATTGCGGACTTCCGGCAACTACCGCCAAGAGTATCTCCTGCTTTGCTACACGCGGCACAGAGCGGGGCTAAAGTAGATGGCTGGGATTCACGAGCAGCAGCAACCGAATCTCCTGCAGCTTCCTTCATTTTATTTGCTCGTGAGTCCCAGCCATCTAGTTTAGCCCCACTCCGCGCTGCATGTAGGCGGTGGCGGTAGTCGCCTGAAGTCTGCAATTTACATGTGATTGAGGCCCTGTTAGAGTATATTTTCGGCTCGATAATTTGGGACCGTTATTCGGAGGATATCCTACATTTATTCCATTACAAAGTCTTCCAATGTTTGCCGGATGTGCTTCTCATGCCTGTGCGGAATCACTTAGTTTTTCCTCTTTAGGGCAGGTTGATGCCCAGACTTTTTTTTTTTTTTAGTGTTTTGAACAGACCTTCATGACTAAGCAAATCAAATTGCTTGGTAAGATCATTGAAATCAAAATACACTTTGTGATTTTATTTAGAGTATAGTTTTTTGCAATTGTTGTAATGAGAATACCATGTCAACGGTAGACTGTTTTCTACAAAATCCATGCTGTGGTTCAAGGTAAACTTGTCTCTTAGGATTAATAGTCTGCAAAACAGTTCTGGCAATTACATTTCCAGCAGTACACATCAGTTATGTTCCCCTGCTGCACTCATGGACAGTCAGAAATCAAAAAGATCTATAGTAAAGTGGATTTTATCCCATTGCAACATACCTAAAACTGTAGAGGCTGACAGATTGGCAAAGGAAGGTGGAAGACTAACCCAGCCTGATACAGATATAACATATGAGGGGGTGAAGAGGTTTATAGGGAGTATCTATAGTATCAAATGGAATTCTGAACATCCAGGCCACAAGATGGATGATGCATACCACCAACTTGATTGAAGAGAACAAACACACAGCAGAGGAAATAATAGGCTGAAACACCACTTGTTTACTGAGCTAAATGTATGGGAGACTTATAATTGTATCTGTGGAAATGGTAAAATGACGACAAAACACAAGCATATGCAGAACAGAAAAAAATATTTTCTGACTCACACCTGTCTTTTTTTAAATAAAGGACAAATTCTATGGAGAGCTGACTGCTGATTACTTTAAACATACTCACATTGACATCTGAAGGTCAGAGGACATCTGAAAATCAGAGGATCCAAGTAAGCTGGTAGTCCCTAGAGATGCTTAGTTAAAAAACCATGAGTTGAGGGAAAAAACACTAAACTGACCCATCTGTTCATTTACTGCCACACTGGCAGCCTCTTGGTGTCTGTGTGATAAATGTCAAATGAAACTATAGTGGACACTGAGGTCCGCTGCAGTAAAAGTCTAACATGCGAAAGAAGCACTAATTTTGAAATCCCAGGTTTGCAGACTGCTACTGCTGGCTTCTAAAGGCGAAGCCTGAGAGAAATGAGGTGTCTAATATAAACAAGTAAGGTTAAACAGTCATGAGCAGGAAATGAGGATTTCATGGGTGAGCCCAGTACCAGAACACTATATGCATTTATCAAAGCCTCCTTGGATGGTGGGGAATGCTCATGTTCTTCTCCTACTTTCTCCTGAGAACTGATCAGCTCTTGATCAGCCTGATTGGAGACACCACATTTGAATTATGAAACAAAGATGACCACACACATATCAATAAATTTGCAGTGTTCCATGAAACTAACGGGGAAGGCTAACCTGGCATCAATTGCCTGCAGAAGTGAGATGTGTCAGGGCGAAAGGTGCAATCATAGCATGTTGTAAATGGGCACAAAGCATTTTCATCTTCAGATGAGGGTATACATTGTCTATAGTTATTGAATCTCAACAGTCACCAGGACCACACCTCTCCTTATTTATAGCTATTGCAGTCACTCCTACCACACATGTCCTTGTTCATGGTTATCCCAGTCACTGTGACCACACCTGTCCTTGTTCATGGTTATCACAGTCACTCCTACCACACCTGTCCTTGTTCATGGTTATCCCAGTCACTCCTACCACACTTGTCCTTGTTCATGGTTATCCCAGTCACTCCTACCATACCTGTCCTTGTTCATGGTTATCCCAGTCACTCCGACCATACCTGTCCTTGTTCATGGTTATCCCAGTCACTGCGACCACACCTATCCTTGTTCATGGTTATCCCAGTCACTGCGACCACACCTGTCCTTGTTCATGGTTATCCCAGTCACTCCTACCATACCTATCCTTGTTCATGGTTATCCCAGTCACTCCGACCACACCTGTCCTTGTTCATGGTTATCCCAGTCAATCCGACCACACCTGTCCTTGTTCATGGTTATCCCAGTCACTCCGACCACACCTGTCCTTGTTCATTGTTATCCCTGTCCGTCCGACCACACCTATCCTTGTTCATGGTTATCCCAGTCACTCCGACCACACCTATCCTTGTTCATGGTTATCCCAGTCACTCCGACCACACCTGTCCTTGTTCATGGTTATCCCAGTCACTGTGACCACACCTGTCCTTGTTCATGGTTATCCCAGTCCGTCCGACCACACCTGTCCTTGTTCATGGTTATCCCAGTCACTCCGACCACACCTATCCTTGTTCATGGTTATCCCAGTCACTCCGACCACACCTGTCCTTGTTCATGGTTATCCCAGTCACTCCGACCACACCTGTCCTTGTTCATGGTTATCCCAGTCACTCCGACCACACCTGTCCTTGTTCATGGTTATCCCAGTCACTGTGACCACACCTGTCCTTGTTCATGGTTATCCCAGTCACTGTGACCACACCTGTCCTTGTTCATGGTTATCCCAGTCTCTCCTACCACACCTGTCCTTGTTCATAGTTATCCCAGTCACTGTGACCACACCTGTCCTTGTTCATGGTTATCCCAGTCACTCCTACCACACCTGTCCTTGTTCATAGTTATCCCAGTCACTGTGACCACACCTGTCCTTGTTCATGGTTATCCCAGTCACTCCTACCACACCTGTCCTTGTTCATGGTTATCCCAGTCACTCCTACCACACCTGTCCTTGTTCATAGTTATCCCAGTCACTCCGACCACACCTGTCGTTTTTCATAGATAATGTCCTCACTCTGACCACACCTGTCCTTTTACATAGTTATTGCTATCACCTTGGCCACCCCTGTGTTCTATGTAGCAGTCACACACCATGTTTTTATGAATGATGTAACAGCACAAAATGTGTTATAGATGTAGCAGTCACACACCATGTTTTTATGAATTATGTAACAGCACAAAATGTGTTATAGATGTAGCAGTCACACACCATGTTTTTATGAATGATGTAACAGCACAAAATGTGTTATAGATGTAGCAGTCACACACCGTGTTTGTATGAATGATGTAACAGCAAAAACTGTGTTATAGATGTAGCAGTCACATACCATGTTTGCATTAATGATGTAACAGCACACACTGTGTTGTAGATGTAGCAGTCAGACACCATGTTTGTATGAATGGGGTAACATTATACATTGTGTTATTGATGTAGCAGTCAGATATCATGTTTGTATAAATTATGTAACAGTACACACACTATGTTATAGATGTAGCAGTCAGACACTATGTTTGTATAAATGATGCAATAGTACACAGTGCATTATTGATGTTGCAGTCAGACACCATGTTCCTGTGAGTGATGTAACAGTACACACTGTTCTATTGATGTAGCAATCAGACACAATGTATGGATGGTGTAACAGTACACATACATTGTGTTATTGATGTAGCAATCAGACACCATGTTTGCATGACTGTTGTAACAGTACAGACTGTGTTATAAATGTAGCAGTCAGACACCATGTTTGCATGACTGTTGTAACTGTACAGACTTTGTTATAAATGTTGCAGTCAGACACCATGTTTGTACGGCTTCTGTAACCAAAACTGGTGTATGCTTGGTGTGTATTGTAACTGTGATCACAACCGTAATTGTGTTGCAGTGTTGACAGCTAAGTTGTGTGCTGCTGAAATTGATGTGGAAGTGAAGCTAGCAAGGGATGGCTCTTACCATCTTACACTTCAATGATGTGTACAACATCGACGAGCAGAGAGATGAACCACGAGGTGGAGCTGCTCGCATGAAGTCCTACATCCAATCCCAGCAACAGTTTCAGCCACTGGTGCTGTTTAGTGGGGATGCTCTCAATCCATCGCTGAGTCAGTATAGCACTTGCTAAATATAAGCACAATCTGTTCTTCTATGTTTGTGTCACTGACAACCAGTCAACATTTATCTAATTTGCGTTTCAATGACAACCAATTTTCTATAGAATGTCTGTATCACTGACAACCAGTCAATATTTATCTATTTTGTGTTTCAATGACAACCAATCTTCTATAGAATGTCTGTGTCACTGACAACCAGTCAACATTTATCTATTTTGTGTTTCAATGACAACCACACTTCTGTAGAATGTTTTTGTCACTGACAACCAGTCAACATTTATCTATGTAATTTGTGTTTCAATGACAACCAATCTTCTGTAGAATGTCTGTGTCACTGACAACATCAACATTTATCTAATTTGTGTTTCAATGACAACCAAACTTCTGTAGAATGTCTGTGTCACTGACAACCAGTCAACATTTATTTAAATTGTGTTTCAATGACAACCAATCTTCTGTAGAATGTCTGTGTCACTGACAACCAGTCAACATTTATGTAATTTGTGTTTCAATGACAACCAAACTCCTGTAGAATGTCTGTGTCACAGACAATCAGTCAACATTTATCTAATTTGCTTTTCAGTGACAACCAAACTTCTGTAGAATGTCTGTGTCACTGACAACCAGTCAACATATTTTCTTTAGTGTTTTGTTTAACACTAGATGATATTCTTGGTGTGTATGTGTGTATGTGTGTATGTATGTATGTATGTATGTATGTATGTATGTATGTATGTATGTATGTATGTATGTATGTATGTATGTATGTATGTATGTGTGTGTGTGTGTGTGTGTGTGTGTGTGTGTGTGTGTGTGTGTGTGTGTGCGTGCGTGCGTGCGTGCGTGCGTGCGTGCGTGCGTGCGTGCGTGCGTGCGTGCGTGCGTGCGTGCGTGCGTGCGTGCGTGTGTGTATGTTGTGTTGTGTTGTGTTGTGTTGTGTTGTGTTGTTGTGTACACACACACACACACACACACACACACACACACACGTACGTACGTACGTACATACATACATACACACACACACACACACACCTATATATATATAGGTGTGTGTGTGTGTGGGATGCGCACATGCATGCGTGCGTGGATGGGTCGGAGGGTGGGGGGGGGGGAGGGGTTGATTAGGTTGCGTTATTGTGTGAGGTTTGTATAACCATTATATGATATTATGTGTGGTTGCTATGTGGGCCTGGCATAATCATTACATGACATCCTTCTTTGTGTGAGTATGTGGGTATTTGTGTGTGTGTGGATGTGGCTTTTGGTGTTTTCTGAGGCTGGTGTAACCAATTAGATCACATTCTTGTTGTGTGTGTGAATTTTTTTAATTGTTTGAGTGTGGTGTAATGATTAGATGATATTATCTGTGTGTGGTTGTTGTGTGAGGGTGGTATAACCATTAGATGATATTCTCTGTGTGTGTGGTTGTTGTGTGTGGGTAGTTTAACCATTCATTGATATTCATTGTGTGTGATTGTTGTGTGTGGGTGGTATAACCATTTGTTGATATTCACTATGTGTGATTTGTATGTATGTGGGTGGGATAACCATTATATAATAGTTTCTGTATGTGGTTGATGTGCGTGTATGTATGTGTGTAGGTGTGTGTTTGTGTGTGTGTGTGTGTGTCTGTGTGGGTGGCTGAGTGGGAGGGGGGTATAACCATTAGATGATATTTTCTGTGTGTGGTTGATAAGTGAGGGTGATATAACACATAAATGATATTCTCTGTCTGTGGTTGTTGTGTGAGGCTAGTAACTATTTGGAGATATTCTCTCTCTGTTTGTGGTTGTTGTGTGATGCTAGTGTAACCATAATATGAAATTCTCTCTCTGTGAGTGGTTGTTGTGTGAGGATAGTGTAACCATTGTATGATATTCTTCTTTGTGTGTGGTTGTGTGAGGCTAGTGTGACTATTTGGAGATATTTTGTCTCTGTGTGATTGTTGTGTGAGGCTAATGTAATTATTATATGTTACTCTTTCTGTGAGTGGTTGTTGTGTGAGGCTAGTGTAATCATTAGATGATATTCTGTGTGTGTGTGTGGTTCTTGTGTGAGGCTAGTGTGACCATTATATGATATTCTGTGTGTGTGTGTGGTTGTTGTGTGAGCCTAGTGTAACCATTAGATGATATTCTCTCTCTGGGTGTGGTCATTGTGAAAAGCTAGTGTGTCCATTATATGATATTCTCTCTCTGTGTGTGGTTGTTGTGTGAGGCTAGTGTAACTATTATATTATATTCTCTTTCCCTGTTTGGTTGTGTGAGGCTAGTGTAACCATTAGATGATATTCTCTCTGTGTGTGTTTGGTTGTGTGAGGCTAATGTAACCATTGTATGATACTCTCTCTCTATATATTGTGGTTGTTGTGTGAGGCTAATGTAACTAGTAGATGATATTCACTCTCTGTGGTTGTTGTGTGAGGCTAGTGTAACTATTATATGATACTCTCTCTCTCTCTGTGTGGTTGTTGTGTGAGGCTAGTGTAACTAGTATATGATATTCACTCTCTGTGGTTGTTGTGTGAGGCTAGTGTAACTATTATATTATATTCTCTTTCCGTGTTTGGTTGTGTGAGGCTAGTGTAACCATTAGATGATATTCTCTCTGTGTGTTTGGTTGTGTGAGGCTAATGTAACCATTGTATGATACTCTCTCTCTCTATATTGTGGTTGTTGTGTGAGGCTAATGTAACTAGTAGATGATATTCACTCTCTGTGGTTGTTGTGTGAGGCTAGTGTAACTATTATATGATACTCTCTCTCTCTCTCTGTGTGGTTGTTGTGTGAGGCTAGTGTAACTAGTATATGATATTCACTCTCTGTGGTTGTTGTGTGAGGCTAGTGTAACTATTATATGATACTCTCTCTCTCTCTGTGGTTTTTGTGTGAGGCTAATGTAACTAGTATATGATATTCACTCTCTGTGGCTGTTGTGTGAGGCTAGTGTAACCATTATATGTTACTCTCTCTCTCTGTGTGTGGTTGTTGTGTGAGGCTAATGTAACTAGTATATGATATTCACTCTCTGTGGTTGTTGTGTGAGGCTAGTGTAACCATTATATGATACTCTCTCTCTCTGTGTGTGGTTGTTGTGTGAGGCTAGTGTAACCATTGGGTACTATTCTTTGCAGTGAGCATATTTTTCAAAGGAGAACAAATGATTCCTGTTTTGAATGAGCTTGGAGTCGCTGCTGCTGTTTATGGCAACCATGACTTTGGTAAGTTTCCTGTCCTTCTCTGTCTTTATCAGTTCTTTACACACTCAAATGTGGGTACACACACCCATGTATAAGCACACATACCCATGTAAATGCATTCATACACACGTACATATACATGCAAACATACATTCACACATACACACATACAGCATGAACACACATAACATGAACTGGCATAAGTATCTTCTTTCTATAACAGTTTTCACACACACACACACACACCCATATACACTGACCCACATACACTGACACACATACACACACACCAACACAAATATGCACACACACACACACTAACACCTGCATATACACACACCAGCAACTGGCTAACCACAGTCACTTATTAGCAGCACTGACATTGGCTGCCTCTCTCTTGTGTAAACAGTACTTAAGAATGGTGTCTGGTTCCTGGAACCTTCTACATGTTATTTTCTGGACTAGAATCAAGCATGGAAGGTGGTCGTTTCCATAATGTCCCAGTACACCCCACTGGTACACTGCACTGGTGCTGGGTGAAACCAGAGTGAGATCAAGGGCAGTGTTGGTATCCTCTTCTCTGTCAGGGATTCTGGTGAGTCTGCCATCATTCACAGGGTTGTGCATTCGATTTTTGCAGTTTCATGCAAGCCTTAGATATGACACCCCTTAAGTGTTCAAACTGTATTTGGATTTTGCTGCTTATGCCGCCCCTTATTGTACCGCCTGATGTGGCTGCCTGTATCATGGTATGGCACAGCCTTAATCATTCAAGCTGATCAACTCTGTGTCTGTCAGTGCCTCCTCCAATGCCATGACCTGTTTGTTGACCATGGTGTAGTCCCATAACTGACCCCTTATGTTGAAATCACCATAAATAATGATGCTGGTTTTTAACTGACTGCACCTGCCAGCTTTCCACTTCTCTTTGTCTACCTTATTCTGAGTAATTTAAGCTTTAATTATCAGAATTAAACGCATCTGACTGAAACAATTTCAGAGCATTAGCTGCAGAAAGGCATATTTTGCAGGCTGTACTTGTGCTTTGAACATTGGTATCCTTGATTAGTCAAAGATGAATTTTAAAAATTTACTGTCTGAAAATAACGCCCACAATGAATGGGATAATTTTGTACATAAATGTTCAAACAAGACTATAAACAAGTTATAATGGTAATAACCTTCCCTGAGTATTCGAAATATAGTTTGAAACATAAAAAACTAGTATCTAGCAGTATGCAAATCAATTTGTATGTGACACACAATCGACGCAGACTATGTTGTTTAGGTAAATTGGAATTTCTCAGTCAATACACACAGCATTGATGTGGCCTGAAAGAGAACAGACTGACAGAAGTGTGATTTTCATTAGAACAGACTGACAGAACATGTTATATTCATTTGAAGAGACTGATAGAATATTTAATGATCACTGGAATAGACTGACACAACATGTGATGTCCATAAGAACAGACCAATATAATATGTGATGTTCGTTTGAATAGACTAACAGAAAATATGGTCTTCATTTGAACTGACTCATATTCGGGGCCGCGTTAGTGCAATCAATACTCACTTTAAAATCCAACTGCGATTCGCTGCAGCCCACGGCCTGTGTTCGAAACTGGGAGGTTCCCGGGGGTTCACCTAGCCTCTAGGAAATGGGTACCAGAGTTAACACTGTGAGTGGGGTAAATGGAGGAACGTCGCTGTGGCTATGGAGTTGCATGCGGACGGTGACACAGGCGGAAAGTGTCTTATCAGCTGTAAGTACTGGTGGCAGAGCACTTGAGGTTTATAACCAAGTGCAATGATGCTGCTTCACATCTCCTGACTTTACTTTAGACTATGTCATGTTCATTTGAACCTACTGACAGAATATATGATTTTGATTCTGGCACAGATTTTGGAGTTGACCACCTAGAGGACATGGCTGAGCAGTGCAAGTTTCCTTGGCTACTGAGCAATGTCAATGACATGGTCAACAATGAGCCGCTGGCGCAAGGACAGACTCATGCCATTATTGAACATGCTGGCATCAAAGTATGTCTGGATGTGTGTTGTCACATGCCAAAATTGATCATGCTGCCATCAAAGTATTTCAAGATGTGTATTGTCTCATGCATCATTGAACATGCTGCCATTTAAGTTTGTCTGGATGTTTGTTGTCTCATGCCATCATTGAACATGCTGGCATCAAAGTTTGTCTGGATGTGTGTTGTCTCATGCCATCATTGAACATGCTGCCATCAAAGTTTGTCTGGATGTGTGTTGTCTCATGCCATCATTGAACATGCTGGCATCAAAGTACGTCTGGATGTGTGTTGTCTCATGCCATCACTGAACATGTTGCCATCAAAGTATTTCAAGATGTGTATTGTCTCATGCCATCATTGAACATGCTGGCATCAAAGTTTGTCTGGATGTGTGTTGTCTCATGCCATCATTGAACATGCTGGCATCAAAGTTTGTCTGGATGTGTGTTGTTTCATGCCATCATTGAACATGCTGCCATCAAAGTTTTTCTGGGTGTCTGGGTATGTTGTTATGGGAAAATGTCAGACTTATCTCTTTCAATACCAGAAGAAGGTGTCATAGGACATGCCAGTTAAGAAATACCCCTGATTAAACTGTGCCAGTGAATTAATATCTGTGTGGTAATATAACAATAGTTGTGAATATTGGACAATCTAGATTTCTTGAGTGTGTTCAGACCAAATATAATGGTAGTTGTGAATATTGGACAATCTAGATTTCTTGAGTGTGTTCAGACCAAATATAATGGTAGTTGTGAATATTGGACAATCTAGATTTCTTTAGTGTGTTCAGACCAAATATAACAGTAGTTGTGAATATTGGACAATCTAGATTTCTTGAGTGTGTTCAGACCAAATATAACAGTAGTTGTGAATATTGGACAATCTAGATTTCTTGAGTGTGTTCAGACCAAATATAACGGTAGTTGTGAATATTGGACAATCTAGATTTCTTGAGTGTGTTCAGACCAAATATAATGGCAGTTGTGAATATTGGACAATCTAGATTTCTTGAGTGTGTTCAGACCAAATATAATGGCAGTTGTGAATATTGGACAATCTAGATTTCTTGAGTGTGTTCAGACCAAATATAATGGTAGTTGTGAATATTGGACAATCTAGATTTCTTGAGTGTGTTCAGACCAAATATAACAGTAGTTGTGAATATTGGACAATCTAGATTTCTTGAGTGTGTTCAGACCAAATATAATGGTAGTTGTGAATATTGGACAATCTAGATTTCTTGAGTGTGTTCAGACCAAATATAATGGTAGTTGTGAATATTGGACAATCTAGATTTCTTGAGTGTGTTCAGACCAAATATAACAGTAGTTGTGAATATTGGACAATCTAGATTTCTTGAGTGTGTTCAGACCAAATATAACAGTAGTTGTGAATATTGGACAATCTAGATTCAGCAATTATGGTTTTTTGCACATCACTAGGACTCAAAGAGTTATATAAGCACATGATGATAGTGGAGGCAGCTGTGTAATGCTTATGTTGCCATGGTTACAGATTGGCATTATGGGGCTGGTGGAGAAGGAGTGGATCGACACACTGTCAACACTTGACCCTGCAGACGTTTTGTTCTCAGATTTTGTCGAAGTAGGCAAGGACCTGGCCATGGTTTTACGTAGATCTGTAAGTTGGCACGCTTGTAATAACTTATGGTAGATGTTTCCTGTCATTGGCCTGCAGCAACCACACACACCACACTACACACACATATGAACACACACACTCATACTGACATGCAGATCAGTGAGTACCTGATGGTAAATGTTTTCATTTGTGGTCACACCTGCTTGCATGTGCGCACATACTTACACAGACCAGAATACACATTGACGCCGACAGCATCTTTCTACCATTTTTAACTGCAGCTAATGCCACAGATACAAATTTACTAACTTTTGCTGATGCTTGTCCTGAATTTAGACTAACAATCAGCAATAAATCAACAAGAAAAAATATACACAAAAACTCCTTTCCTCTTTGCAACATCAGTTAATAAAACCCCCGTGTGGGTTCCGGGGCCCTATTGTGGGGAAAACAAGAATAGACCCACTGCCTCCCCAAAAGCATGTCGTAAGAGTCGACTAACTGGGGAGCTTCCTTTGAAGTCGGAGTGCATCTGCCTGAGAGGCAAGGAACCAGCAGTCTGCATTCAATTGAATCAGATCTGTAAAACTGATGCACACGCAACACTCAGGTTCTGGAACAGGACTGCAGTCCAGAAGTGGACGAACAACCAGAACTTTACACCAGAGTTTACAGCTGGTGAACGCGAAGAAGAAGAAGAAGAAGAAGTTAATAAAACACACTTATGTGTATATATATATTTTTATAAACTCACATTCTCCATGGCTTGGCTTCTCATAACATTAAAAAAAAACCTTTCACATTCACAATGGCATCATTATATGTCAGTTATTAATGTTGATTACACTAAAAGGCTGGTAATTTATCTGTTTTTTTTAAAATCTTATTTCTTCTCTTAATGGAAAATGATCTACTTTTTCTAATTATATGTGCCCTATCTTAATTATTCCTCCTTTAACCATTACGGTTCTCTCATTGTCATGTAGTATGCCCTATCACTGTTCTCTGATATATTATGTACTGTAAAAAAAAGATTTTTGTCTCTCTATTCACTACAGTCACTCCCACAAAGCTTTTCGGAGCTATTAACTCATACATTTTAATCTGATAATTATCTTTGTAGACTGTTTATCTGTGATATTTACTCTGTTTACTAATTGTCTACTATCTTCTATCTCAAGAATATTCTTCATCAGAAGAAACTGTGTGCCGTGTATGCATGTGCACAAATGTATTCTTCCTTTATTATTCTTTGTTCTCTTTTCTACAGACATCATCATTCTTCATTAACTGAATTAACTATTTAATTAACTGCTTTTTCTTCTTCTTCTTCGAGTGCTTTAGGCTTTATTGGTATGGGTACCTGTTTACTGCCTCATTCACGTGTGACGCTATTGTGATCATACCTTTTTCTTCTACCAATTATTTTGTTGTTTCCTCAGTTTTAAAGTGCACAACTGTTATTACCTGTAGCATAATATAGCGACTTTTTCTTTCTGGTCGTTGGGTTGTTCTTCTTGTCTTCATTGTTGTAGTCTTTAACAGTGTGTAGTTGCATTTGTCACTCTTGGTTTTCTGGTGCTCTGGATTTCTGTAGCTTTGGTCTTCCGGAACTTTGTACTTATTTCTGGACTTCTGGAACTTTAGTTGTCTATACTCTGAGCTTTTATATCATTAGTTTTCTGGAACTTTGCATTCATGTAAGGTGGGTCTTCTGAATTCTGGACTTCTACTCTTCTAGATGCCTCGGACTGCTGTCTTCTGGGACTAAAGGTTCTTGTTGTTAATTAAAAATGTCTATATTGACTTATCTATTTTGTTGCTGCTTATGTCTCTGTTTCTGGACTAGTTGACCCTGTGATCGTACTTGTAGTTCATGTTATGTTCTCTGAAACTTGAAAACTTGTGGGTAGTGCTTGCATTCATCGTTGGAACTTTAAAACTCTGACTCTGTGTGTTAAAATAAACTACTGTCTCTTAAGGTTTAGTAACTTTGCATGGCGTTGTCTGACGTGTCTTACAAATTGTCTCATAATGTCATTCTGCTGGGTATTCGTAGTAAAGCTTCTTGAGGCAACAAAATTGAGTTTCTTGCATAATTAGAAGTTTCGTTTACATTTGGCTGACGCTTGTAAGTTCTGGGAAAATGTCACCGAACTGAGCTTCTTACATCTGTAGAAGTGTCTTGCAAAACGCTTTAGGTCTTGAAAATTGTGAGTGAACAGTACCAAAATGGAGTCTTTTACATGTCGTTCAAAAGGCTACAGGTCTGGCATGTCATTGAAAATTTGTAAATTCTTGAAAATCCTGGGAAAATTGGCACCAAATTCGGGTTTCTTACATGTTGTTTTAAAATGCTTCAGGTTTTTGAGATCCTGGTCACAAAGGCACCACAAATTGACCTCCCCCCTATGTAGCACAGTTGTGTTCTTTTTTGCGTACGTCGATGTCACACCCAGGTTCATCTTTAGGTTTGCTACAGGAGGTGAAAGATGGTTGTGTTGATAGAAGTGATGATGATGTCTTACTTGCTGCATGCGTCTCACTTGACTTTGATGCTTGAAAAATAAAATATCCGGAAACAACTCTTCTTTTAAATGTACTGTCTTTAATGTGACACTTCAGCAATGTCACAAATAACATCAATGATATTTCGAAAGGTCGCTGCTTTAGCTCTATGGTTACACACTCTTGAGGTTGCATTGTGTTCTTCATCTCTAATTACTTTGTTAACTGGTTCTAGTGTCTGCAACTGCCACCTGGCTTCTAGTGGTGTCTGGTACTAACAGCTTGATCGTTGACTCTAACATCTCAATTGTGATTCTACCTAATGTGACTCTGTTTACCATGGATCCATGTATCTTGCGTGTCGTCTTTGTAACTCGATGTCCTGTTTCATGTCTCTTCTCTAGTGTCTGTCTTTGAGGCTCCATGTGACTGGCCCCTATCCTTGTAGTGTTGAGTTGGCATCTCCACAACTGAAAGTGCTCTATGAGGGTCAATGTTACTACTCCCTTATCTTCTAAGTCTCATCGACTCAAGGCCTCTAGTGTTGGGCTGACATCTCTACAACTGAAGGCTGCTAAAGTGGTTTGTTACTCATTATTTATACTTGGATGCTGGAATGCTAGTTATTTGTTTTCTTCTTAATTTTTCTGCTTCTAGAATATTCTTGTATGCTCAACCTGTTTACTATGGATTTTCTAATTATGTCTTGACTGCATTCGATTTCATCATCTTATTATGATTGAAAATATACTGATTTGTTCGGCAGCTGGCCTCATGGAGTCAGTACAACTGTGTTCACTTTGATAGGGCACGTCAACAAGATATTTACTAGTACGACAAGGTTGGTCACATCATAAAAAAAAACGACATTTCGAAACTTCTAGAAAGAAGGCCAAGGCCAAACAACATCAGTTTGACAGACACCTATGATGACAATAGCCAGTTCTGGCAGAAAAAGAAGGTTACTTATGACATCAATAGTTAATTTTGGTGGGAAAATAAAGTCCTAGAAAAGGGAATGTCAAGGTTACTAAAAATTGTTGTTCCTGGTTCATCTTAGCTATGCGCAATATCCTACCTCCTAACATACAAATGATGACATCTCCATGCTAGAATGTACAAAGAACAAAAGAATACTTGGCATTAAGTGGCAGGACAGAATCACAGAAACTGGGGTATTAGAATGATCAGGTGTCACAGCAGTGTTCTCAATGCTCAGTCTTTGAAATCTGACAAAGTTGAGACACTCTTGGAGAATGGAGCAAAGTAGAGTCCCTAAGGACATCCTCTACAAAAAAATTACAGATGAATGAATGATGGTGATGTTGGCCTCTGCTATGAAATAAGTATGTGTGCAAGCGGGACATGAGTGATACAGGTATTGATGTGGATTTGTGGAAACAGGATGCATTGTACTGTGTAGTGTGATGTAAACTTTGTGTAGTATGGTGTCCAGCTGGTCATCACGCTGACCCACATATATACAGGCAATAACTTTTTAATGTAAGACACATCCGCTCGCAGACTGCCTGATCGCAAGCAGCCTGCCTCGTCTCACCCGATAAATGCCCGATTTCCGATAGCTCTATCATAACATTTGATTCGTTCGATTATACGGCTTGAATCTATCTTGATAAGTTATCTAGTCTGATTATCGAAAAAGCCGTAGCCTTGGATACTGTGTTGGGAGCACCCTGGGAGTTCTTCTGGGAGCTTTTTAATCAGGCTTGTACCTTCCAGAGACCAAGCTACAGCTAGACAACCATACTAGTCCGCGACTTTACAGCCAAAATTTATTCACATAAACATTTCATTTCTGTCGTGACTATGTCCCTTCTGTCTTCTGAAGACAATGTATACCTGTATACAGACAATGACTTGATGACGTAGGGTGTCCAGCTGGTGATCACACTTACTCACCTGTATACATACAATGACTTGATGATGTAAGGTGTCTAGCTGGTGATACACTAACTCACCTGTATACAGACAATGACTTGATGATGTAGGGTGTCCAACTGGTGATCACATTTACTCACCTGTATACAGACAATGACTTGATGATGTAAGGTGCCCAACTGGTGATCACACTTACTCAACCTGTATACAGACAATGACTTGATGAGGTAGGGTGTCCAGCTGGTGATCACATTTATTCACCTGTATACAGATAATGCCTTGATGACGTAGGGTGTCCAGCTGGTGATCACATTTACTCACCTGTATACAGACAATGGGTCGGCTCTGTGGCTAAGTCGATGCGAACACTTCGCTTCGTAATGCCGGCATGCCAGGTTCGATCCCAGCTGCGGGCAATGCGCCTTGCGTTGGTTTCGACAGTGGTATCAAGAGAGCCGACCGTCCGGAAAGCAATGGCAAACTACTGGACGTAGATTTGCCTAGAGAAACCACACAACAGCCAGGGGCTGTTAGGGTTGGTTCTGCAACGTCCTCTAGAGGATACGCAACAACCTTTTTTTTTAATACAGACAATGACTTGATGATGTAGGGTGTCCAGCTGGTGATCACACTTACTCAACCTGTATACAGACAGTGACTTGATGAGGTAGGGTGTCCAGCTGGTGATCACATTTACTCACCTGTATACAGATAATGCCTTGATGAGGTAGGGTGTCCAACTGGTGATCACATTTACTCACCTGTATACAGATAATGCCTTGATGAGGTAGGGTGTCCAACTGGTGATCACATTTACTCACCTGTATACAGACAATGACTTGATGATGTAAGGTGCCCAACTGGTGATCACACTTACTCACCTGTATACAGACAATGACTTGATGACGTAGGGTGTCCAGCTGGTGATCACATTCACTCACCTGTATAAAGACAATGACTTGATGATGTAAGGTGTCTAGCTGGTGATACACTAACTCACCTGTATACAGATAATGACTTGATGATGTAGGGTGTCCAGCTGGTGATCACACTTACTCAACCTGTATACAGACAATGACTTGATGATGTAAGGTGCCCAACTGGTGATCACACTTACTCATATGTATACAGACAATAACTTGACAATTTAGGGTGCCTAGCTTTTTATCACACTGATGCACATGTATACAGACAGCAACCTGATGACATACAGTGTCCAACTGCTCATCACACTGATCCACATGTATACAAACAGCAACCTGATGACATAGAGTGTCCAACTGCTCATCACACTGATGCACATGTATACAGACAGCAACCTGATGACACAGAGTGTCCAACTGCTCATCACACTGACTCACATGTGTACAGGCAATAACTTGGTCCTCACTGACCAACATCTTTATAAGCAATAACCTAATATTCATCTCTTGCAGGGTGCCCAGCTGGTTATTGCACTGACCCACATGAGAGTCCCAAATGATGAAAAACTTGCTGAGGATGTTGATGGCATTGACCTGATTCTGGGAGGGCATGATCATGATTATGAAATTATACAGGTAACTCAGCTTCATCTAAGTCGTGTTTCTCAGCCTTCATAACTTTAGTGAAGATATGTTTTCTGATGATCTTAAGTGACCCCTGTGAGATGGTCGTTCAACCCCCAAAAGGGTCGCAACCCACAGGTTGAAAAACCACTAATCTAACTGTATGTGCAGTGTATTATTTGTGCTTCCATTATTTAAATTCACTGTAGGAAACTGTAGTGAATCTCATTTTCTCCCAGTTAATTTATGCCCGACAGATGACGTCAGTAATAAATGTGAGTGGAATATTTTGACTTTAACTGGGACGGCACGGGAATTGTTGAGTCTGAACTTCACGGGAATTATAAAGAAATGCTGATAGTCAAACTTTATGTGGAGTATAATTATTCACGTGAAGAGAAAGGTTGACTGTCAAACTTCATGCGAAGTATGATGAAACACGACTGCCGTGAAACTGAAGGAGCACGGAATATTCAGGAAAAACAAAGCGAGTATTAGAAGGCTATATAATATCGTGAAAAGGGCTGGGAGTTAGTCTCGTTTGGACCCAGGAACGAAGTGCATGGACGGCGGTGGATGATGTGCGGATTCAGCAGATGTTTTGAGTGAATTTGTTCCAGTCCAACTTGGCGAAAAAAGCTGGCAAGCAACATGCCGTGGGTCGTCTGAGTTTTTCTGTCAGGACAGCTGTTGTGTTTTCGTTCATGATGCTAGTGTAGGACGATTGTGTTTTCTGCTTGAAGGTAATATTTAAACGTTGATAATTGAGTTATAATGTGTGCCTGGACAGTTGTCTATTTCATGTGCCGGCTGTGTAAGCCGCGAGTGGAAGATTAAAGTGCTGGAACAGTATCGTGTTGTTTTTCCAGTCGTCCATATTCTGCTCGTCGTGTGATGTCGGTTTGTGAGATAGCAGCAGCGTGCGATGATGCGAGCCAGATAGAAGATAAAAGAAAGTCATCGCAGAAACATTGCTTTGAATATCTGAAACATCACCAACAATAAAATGACTTGATGGATTATTTGAACTGAAATGCAATAATCACAGTACAGGATTGCTGGTTACGATTTCCGAAGGAGTGCCTCAAAACAGGATTATTCCCCCATCAGTACTTCAGATCTCTGAGGGTCAACGAGATGTGCCCAACCTCTAGAAACTTGAAGTGATTAACAAAGCATGAGATTGAATAAGCGCAAGGTAAACTGTCTAACCTCCTGTTCAAGCCAAAAAGTCAAAGTGTAGAGAAAAGACAGACACCCTGGTCTTCCAGGTTTGGGGTTGAAGCATGGAGTCGTTACCCCCACCTTTGTAAAACTTCATCTCGTCATGAAACAGATATCTAAGCCTCGATTTCAGATGGATTTAAACAGACAATGAACCTGGAACGTTAAAGGATTTTGAGATTTTTTAACATGGAATATACACAAGGGAGATAAATTGTCCATGACCACAAGGCAGACCAAGAAGACGATGGAAAGATAATGTCCAGGCAGACCTGCAAACACTTGGTGTCACTAACTGGAAAGAAATGGCCAACCAGAGAGATGAATTGAGGCAGGTGATATCTGCAGTAATGAACCTCAAGGGCTCAAAATGCTGAAGATGAAGAAAAAACTGTCTAACCTCCAGTGGGTACATAGTTTCGCATACAACACCACTGATGAATTTGGTTTGTCTGGCTATCTGAAGTTTATCAGATTCTTCTTGTTAAATCATGCCAGAAAGATTTGCACCAAAGATACACTGGCAGAATTGAAACCTTCAGAGTCAAATTCTGATTGGGTGCCCTACAGGATTAATTAAACGTCATTGCACTTCACCCAACCCTCACCCCCCAAAAATTAAAGTGCCCATACTACAAGTATTTATCTAACTAACTTTTTAAGGGGATGATATCATGCAGCGTCTCCAGGATTGGCTAACAACAGCTGTTGGCCAAAGATTCTTTGCCGCTGTTGCCGTAGTGAGGTACAAGACCGCACCTATCCCAGCCACACATGTTAAAGAGATTGTATCATTGTACACCAAACCCAATTGTGTTTATCAGTTTACATGTAAAGGCCAGTTGACTCACACTGGACAAGTGGAGAGACAGCTTGGAAATAGAAAGGCAGACCATATACCCAAATGGTTACATGTCACAGTTCAGCGAATCCTCAGGGATGTTGAGACCAATCAAAAGGAAAGATCCCAAATCTTCTAAAGAACATCATTTGCTTAATTCCTGACATGTAATTAAGAAGGACATTACTTTGTGTGATCTACCACACACCTAAAAGGTGAATGCTGAGAATGGCCGAAGCTCTAACAATTACAATCAACAATCCCCTCCAATTTGTAGGAAATTTGAAGTTATCCTGGTATGTCATGTGTTTATAGTGTACTTCCAACAACTAGAGGAACATGATGCATTGAGAGAAACCATTCAGATCCTGAATGGGCATTCCCTGCCATCCAAGGAAGCTTCCATAAATGCAGAGCTGACACATGATGCTGTGATCCTGAGCTCACCCAAATGAATTGTCATGCCCTATACATGGCTGCTTAACCTAACATCTGTCCATCAGGGCAAAGGTTAGAGAACAGACTAAGATAGACAGCCTGCTCCTCCAGGTTGGGGGGGGGGGGGGGGTTGATGCATGGAATAGATGACTACACATTTTACAAACAGATTTACACTCGTTTGGGTGGGAACTTTAATCACAAATTGTGATATCTAATCCCCTAAAAGTGATGTTTGTTTACATTTATTCAAGCGCAAAATGTTTGCAGGTTAAAGACAAATATGTCATTAAAAGTGGAACTGATTTCCGCAACATGAGCAAATTGACCTTGACCAAGAATGAGAATCAAAGCTGGGATGTAGCCATTGAAAGGGTAGATTTGACCTCCAGCATACCAGAGGATGAGCAGATGAAGAAACTGGTCAGTGAAAAATTAGGTCAGTATTTCTTGCTTTGTTGGGAAATTTATATCTAATTAAAACTGCTGTTATCAATGAGCACTATTGATTATTGACAAATTTTTCTTTGGAATTTCATAACCATTTGAATAATGCAAATTTTTCTTTGTAATTTTATCACCAATTGATTAATTACAGTTTAACGTGGAATTTTATCACCAGCTGAATAATGTAAATTTAACTTTGGAATTTTATCAGTAACTGAATAATGGAAATTTTTCTTCGGATTTTATCACCAATTTATTAAATACAGTTTTACTTTGGAATGTTATCACAAGTTGTTTAATGGACATTTTCTTTAGAATTTTTATCTAAGTAAATTAATTGTAATTGTTCTCTGTAATTTTAGCACTAGTTAATTAATGGCAATTTTTCTTTGGAATTTTATCACCAATTCAGCAATGGCAATTTTTCTTTATAATTTTGTCACTAATTGATTAGTAACAATTTTACTTTGGGATCTTATTACCAGTTAGTTAATGGTAATTTTTTTCTTTTGAATTTTATCAGTTTTAATAATAGCAGTTTTTCTTTGAAATAATTTTCACCAGTTTATGAAATAAAATGTTTTTTTGAATTTAATCATCACCTGATTAGTGATTAAAATGCATTAATTTGATTCTGTAGGGTATAATCAGCCACTGACGATGGAATAAATGCATATATTTTATTTCTGTGGGATATGATCAGCAACTGGGCGGATATGACCAACCACTAGGATATGATCAGCCATTAGGATTGTCAGGGACCTACTTCATTTTCTACCTCCTATAGCTCGTTAGGTAGGCCAGCTAACAGACTTAACTACCCTAGGACACACTTAAAAACACACATCAACAGAGTACAAAATAATCTTTAATGTTCAAAGGACAATTCAACTTATAGCAAGCCTCAACAAAGATAGCCGTCCTTAATTTGGCGTTGGTAGCTTTTACATTCACTAAACCAACCCAGCCATTCCCATGGGTATACCAAGGACTCGATTCCACCTCACTGTCGTACAGCACTAACTAAGCTGCAGTCCTCGCCTTGCGGGACTCAGTGACACAGGTAAGGTGAATGATCTATGTATGAGTGGGCAGTGCTAATGCCACCAACAATGCGTGTCAGCATTAACTACCTGCCTAACAGATACTGCGTGGAAAGTCTACTATACAAGAAACATTAATGCTTTATAATCTCGTCAAAACACTGTATGGAAATAACCTATCTCAATCCTAACCACAAATACTAATCTTACTAATCGTCACTAATTTAGGATACGTTTACTCTCACAGTCCCACATCTGTCCAGTCCAAGGTCCTACTACACGTCTCCCTGAACAAGCTCTGTCCAAGCCTTTTCTTCCTCTTCAACGTTCATCTCTGACATGCTGTAACTCGTGTTACTAGAGGGGTGTAGGGCTTAGCCCAGCTCAGTCGACACAGTTTATTCCGTGGTCAAACTGCCCAATCTTGCTCTGAGTTTGACTGAGGGGCAACTCGTTCATTTGTGTTAATTCACTATCATCACACCTACTCATTCTGTAGTCGAACTGGCCACTGACAACCATATGATCAGACACTAGGATATGATCAGACACTGAGATGTGATCAGACACTAGGGTATAATCAGACACTAGGATATGATCAGACCCTGGAATGTGATCGGACACTAGGATATAATCAAACATTGGGATATGATCAGACACTAGGATATGATCAGACACTAGGATATGATCAGACACTGGGATATGATCTGCCACTAGGATATGATCTGCAACCAGGATATAATCAGACACTAGGATATGATCAGACTATAGGATATGATCAGACACTAGGATATGATCAGCCACTAGGATATGATCAGACATTAGGATATGATCAGCTACTAGGATATGATTAGACACTGGGATATGATCAGACACTGGGATATAACTAGACACTAGGATATGATCAGCCACTAGGATATAATCAGCCACTAGGATATGATCAGACACTAGGATATAATCAGCCACTAGGATATGATCAGACACTAGGATATGATCAGACACTAGGATATAATCAGCCACTAGGATATGATCAGACACTAGGATATGATCAGACACTAGGATATGATCAGACACTAGGATATGATCAGACACTAGGATATAATCAGACACTAGGATATAATCAGACACTAGGATATAATCAGACACTAGGATATAATCAGACACTAGGATATAATCAGACACTAGGATATAATCAGACACTAGGATATGATCAGACACTAGGATATGATCAGACACTAGGATATAATCAGACACTAGGATATGATCAGACACTAGGATATGATCAGACACTGGGATATGATCTGCCACTAGGATATGATCTGCAACCAGGATATAATCAGACACTAGGATATGATCAGACTATAGGATATGATCAGACACTAGGATATGATCAGCCACTAGGATATGATCAGACATTAGGATATGATCAGACATTAGGATATGATCAGCTACTGGGATATGATTAGACACTGGGATATGATCAGACACTGGGATATAACTAGACACTAGGATATGATCAGCCACTAGGATATAATCAGCCACTAGGATATGATCAGACACTAGGATATAATCAGCCACTAGGATATGATCAGACACTAGGATATGATCAGACACTAGGATATAATCAGCCACTAGGATATGATCAGACACTAGGATATGATCAGACACTAGGATATGATCAGACACTAGGATATGATCAGCCACTAGGATATGATCAGCCACTAGGATATAATCAGCCACTAGGATATAATCAGCCACTAGGATATAATCAGACACTAGGATATAATCAGACATTAGGATATAATCAGACACTAGGATATAATCAGACACTAGGATATAATCAGACACTAGGATATAATCAGACACTAGGATATAATCAGACACTAGGATATAATCAGACACTAGGATATAATCAGACACTAGGATATAATCAGACACTAGGATATAATCAGACACTAGGATATGATCAGACACTAGGATATAATCAGCCACTAGGATATAATCAGACACTAGGATATGATCAGACACTAGGATATAATCAGCCACTAGGATATGATCAGAAACTAGGATATGATCAGGCACTAGGATATGATCAGGCACTAGGATATGATCAGACACTAGGATATGATCAGACACTAGTATATGATCAGACACTAGGATATGATCAGACACTAGGATATGATCAGACACTAGGATATGATCAGACACTAGGATATGATCAGACACTAGGATATGATCAGACACTAGGATATGATCAGACACTATGATATGATCAGCCACTAGGATATGATCAGCCACTAGGATATGATCAGCCACTAGGATATGATCAGACACTGGGATATGATCAGCACTAGGATATGATCAGCACTAGGATATGATCAGCACTATGATATGATCAGCACTATGATATGATCAGCACTATGATATGATCAGCATTAGGATATGATCAGACACTGGAATATGATAAGACACTGGGATATGTTCAGCACTAGGATTTGATCAGCCACTAGGATATGATCAGACAATAGGATATGATCAGACACTAGGATATGATCACTAGTGAAAAATTAGGTCAGTATTTCTTGCTTTGTTGGGAAATTTATATCTAATTAAAACTGCTGTTATCAATGAGCACTATTGATTATTGACAAATTTTTCTTTGGAATTTCATAACCATTTGAATAATGCAAATTTTTCTTTGTAATTTTATCACCAATTGATTAATTACAGTTTAACGTGGAATTTTATCACCAGCTGAATAATGTAAATTTAACTTTGGAATTTTATCAGTAACTGAATAATGGAAATTTTTCTTCGGATTTTATCACCAATTTATTAAATACAGTTTTACTTTGGAATGTTATCACAAGTTGTTTAATGGACATTTTCTTTAGAATTTTTATCTAAGTAAATTAATTGTAATTGTTCTCTGTAATTTTAGCACTAGTTAATTAATGGCAATTTTTCTTTGGAATTTTATCACCAATTCAGCAATGGCAATTTTTCTTTATAATTTTGTCACTAATTGATTAGTAACAATTTTACTTTGGGATCTTATTACCAGTTAGTTAATGGTAATTTTTTCTTTTGAATTTTATCAGTTTTAATAATAGCAGTTTTTCTTTGAAATAATTTTCACCAGTTTATGAAATAAAATGTTTTTTTGAATTTAATCATCACCTGATTAGTGATTAAAATGCATTAATTTGATTCTGTAGGGTATAATCAGCCACTGACGATGGAATAAATGCATATATTTTATTTCTGTGGGATATGATCAGCAACTGGGCGGATATGACCAACCACTAGGATATGATCAGCCATTAGGATTGTCAGGGACCTACTTCATTTTCTACCTCCTATAGCTCGTTAGGTAGGCCAGCTAACAGACTTAACTACCCTAGGACACACTTAAAACACACATCAACAGAGTACAAAATAATCTTTAATGTTCAAAGGACAATTCAACTTATAGCAAGCCTCAACAAAGATAGCCGTCCTTAATTTGGCGTTGGTAGCTTTTACATTCACTAAACCAACCCGAGCCATTCCCATGGGTATACCAAGGACTCGATTCCACCTCACTGTCGTACAGCACTAACTAAGCTGCAGTCCTCGCCTTGCGGGACTCAGTGACACAGGTAAGGTGAATGATCTATGTATGAGTGGGCAGTGCTAATGCCACCAACAATGCGTGTCAGCATTAACTACCTGCCTAACAGATACTGCGTGGAAAGTCTACTATACAAGAAACATTAATGCTTTATAATCTCGTCAAAACACTGTATGGAAATAACCTATCTCAATCCTAACCACAAATACTAATCTTACTAATCGTCACTAATTTAGGATACGTTTACTCTCACAGTCCCACATCTGTCCAGTCCAAGGTCCTACTACACGTCTCCCTGAACAAGCTCTGTCCAAGCCTTTTCTTCCTCTTCAACGT